AAAAGTGGTTTTATAACGAAAATTCATTAAAATTTGTAAATCATAACAATAAGCCTTAAGACATATAACGTAGTTAATATCAATTGAAAATCGTATTTAGTAGTTTTTAAAAAGTTAATAAACAAAATAAACAGTTACTAGTTAATAAACAGTTAATTCTTAACTCTTATTAAGTCAGTTTTTTACAGGAAGTTCATGTGACTTGCCTAAGGCATTTACACCTTAGTTTGTATTCTTTCAGAGCAAATTTCTATCAATGGAAAATCTTTTGCAATTATAAAAAATATAATCAAAAAGGGCGATTAAAAGATTTTGAAAAATCCATAGTAATTCTAAAAATGAAAGCAAATGTTTAAAGAATAAAGTACTTTGCTTAATTAATCACTAAAAAACTTAATTTTGATCATATCTCCAGCTCCACTGAAAATAATAGAAATCTATTGATACATATATATATATATATATATATATATATATATATATATATATATATAAATCATAAAGCGCTTCATATATTTGTAGGACGACTATACAATCAGTATGTATTTCTGGACATGAAATTTATATTGTTACAATCTCGATTACAATACATGTTATTTAATTCTATGTTAAGATAAATTTACCTTCAATTCAAATTTAATTACTAATCGTTTTCATAATATAAAATGTCTGTGATGCATATACACACATAATATGTATATATACATACATATGTGTATATGCGTTTTTTTAAGTATATCATACAGATATGTATGGGTATATTTTTCAAAAGCTAAAATTGTGTGTCACGATTTCTTGTGTGCTATTATCCAATATTAAAATTTTATTTTCATTTACAAAAAGACATGTATATAACCAATACATACATTTACGTTCGTATCATGGTTTTACATAATTCATAAATGCTTTTTTCCAAGAGCTTTGAATAATTTGATTGAAAGTTAATATAAATATGCATACTTATTGCTACTATTTATGGCAGTTTGTGAAACCAATAATATTCTTATTATGTAGTTTTATTTGCAAATGTGAACATATATATGTATGTATGAATTATATGCAAATAATTTGGATAAATGGCAATATAAATAGTGAATCTACTTATTCATACAATGTTTATGTAGATACATATAAATATATATATATATATATATATTTATATATATAAATACATTCATCTACATATAAAAATCTCATTTCTTAGTGTTCATGTAAATACTTTGGTTAATTATTCTAAACATATGCACATATGCCGATATAAGTACCGATAGATGTATTTTTATACAGATACATACATACTTATATATATATATATATATATATATATATATTCAATAGATAAGTCCTGGATTTTTTCAATATATTGATTGTTTCTTTTCCGAACATATATATATATATATATATATATATATATATATATACATCTGTCGGGAAACATGATCTTGATAAGATTTAAACAAACAATATATTTAAGAGAAGTAGAAAATGGTTGATTTTTTATATAAAATGGACAAAATTGTGGAAGAAATAGCATTACAGAAATATGACAATAAAATCAAAATAAAAATAATAAACTTCTTTGTTTTCATTACTTTTGGATTCTTTGTTCAAAGCTTTACAAAATATTTACAAATTTCTTCTTGAAATTCATCCGTTCAATAACCAGTTTGTTACCAAATAGTCATCCCATAACACCAAGGAAATTAATACTTTTTGTCTCACATAACAAACACAAAAAATTTTGAATTAGAAAATTTGTTTCTTCGTTTGAATTTTTTTTTATAAAATCACTTTGATAAAATCTTTTTTAGTGAAAAAGATTTAGTGTATAATCAATCATACAGGTAATTAATTCTGTTTATTCTTAAAACTTTCTAATTTTTTAACATTTCTAATATTTTTTATATAATCCACTCATTTATTTTTATTATTTTCATTTTGATTATATTGTCATAATTTTGTAATGTTATTAATGTAGTATAATGATTTCATATAAGGAATAAAGAGTTATATTAAATCAAATCACTTTCTCCCTGGACAAAAATCAGGATCACTTTAGGAATGTTCACTTAAGTGGGTATTTTAGTCTAGAGAGTTTTGAAGAAAGTCAATTTTTTTAATTTACGAACTTTAACTATTCCAGAATATGTGTATAAGAGGGTTTTTTAAAATTTGAATTGTTTTCGGAGATATAGCCATTTGACCACAATAATTCTGCTGTTTCCTTCCTACGCAAAACTTTAAACTCGTTTCACTCAAAACCGTTTTTTTTTTTTCAATACTATACCCACGATTTCTCAATTCTTAAATAACTCTTCTTCATTATGATTTACGTTCAGCCCTAAATTCCGCATTATACTATTTTTAAAAAATCGAGAATATAAAAAAAAAAATTGTAAAAAAAATACTTTTTTTCAGACAGTGGCTATTTTGTGAACAACATTTTTTAACCTGTCCGTAGTTCATACGAATGCGACATTATTCTAGATCAATATTAATAAAAAAAACTAATATTATAAAGATTATTTAGAGGGCCCAAATCATGAGTTTGATAAGGTGCCAATTTTTGGGGACCACCACTTCATTACATTCTAGAATGTAAACTTTTTGTAATGTAAAATTATTTTGGCTTTTCAAAAATCGCATAAAATTCATGCCTCTACACTAGAATACCCTCTTAAATGAGTGTTAAAAACATTTAAATCTAGTGTGTTTTCAACATCTTGTACTGAAAATAGTAATTAATGAGGAAAATATATTTCTTACATTTTGCACACATTTGTAAGAACATCAATTAGTTTTAGTACATGAAGTAGCACTTAATGCTCTTACCATCCTTGGAAACAGATAATGATCCAAATTATAACATTGAATTCAGTTGTATTGTTTCAAACAACTGAATTAATATACAAACGATAACTGCATTATTCTGAATTCTGAATATTTTATACATTATATATATATATATATATATATATATATAATGTATTTAAATCACACACCAATATCAATACATATATCTGCATATGTGCTTTTTAAGTTAGGCAGTATTCTTATACTTTTAATTCCGAATGTATACACAGATACATATTTTTATGCATATGTATATATGTATATATATATACATATACACAAGACATGTATAATTTTATTTATGTGCACATATAAGTTTACATGAATATAAATGACAAGTTAGTTTCAAAACGCACGTCGCCTGCTCTCCGCATAAAAATATTTTGTGTGTTCAACTCGTTCGTACTAAACTAACATAAAATTAATCTGTATGTATGTACATATACAAATATATGTCTAAGTTTATGTATACATCATAATATATTTGTATTTATACATATATATGTATGTAAAACTATACGTACGTATTCATATATAGCATTTGGTGTTAAATAATCTCGTAAATAAGTCAATTAATATTTAAATTAAGTAAAAATTAAAATATATCAATGTACAATTAAAATAACAAAATAAATATTTTACAATATACATTCATAACGGCATACATCACAAACTTTAACAAACTAAATACATAAAAAAATATAAACTTTATCCTAACTAAAACCTAAAAAAAACTAATCTTTCTAAGTATTCATTAAACTTAGTTTTTTTACATAACCTCGATTAGACAAGAGTAAACTCAAATTAAAATTTGAAAATAAAATTATAGCAACAAATTAACGCTTGAGTGTATACCTGAATTCAAAACAATCACACACATGCACACGTACACACATATTTCTTAACACGTGTGCTTCTAGATATTTTTTAAACATTATGTACAATACTAAGTCGATAGCCTCAATAAAAAGTTATATATGTATGTATATAAATATATAATTAAAACATATTTATCTATACATACATATGTCGTACAATCGGCAAATATAAAATAAATAAAATCTCTTTATTTTTGACTATCATAAAACTCTCGATAAAACTAAATTTTCACATTACATTGTTAAAATAACAAATAATATTCATATAGCATCCAAAAATTTATTTTATTTTCTTGTCAGAGAACTATCGACAGACATATAAGACATGTTTTTTTCAAACTTCGTAACCGGTATGTCGTAGTTTGCATATCATTGAGAAATGATGAAAAATTGATTTCTTTTTGATCCAGATTTAGGCCATCATTGGTGGTAATTGATAATTGAGATAAATTAAAAACCCATACAATTTTTATATGTATAATTTAAACTTGAATTGACTTAAACGCAAATTTATACAAAAATAGCTGCCTCAAGAAGTAAAATATAAAATCTCTATTCAAATAAGAATATAAGCTCTATTGTAATAAGAACATAAACTCTATACAAATTATACAATTAACCGCTACTTGAATAAAATGTAAGCTCTACTGAAATGAGAATATGAACTCCATTCCAAAAAGATCTCTATTCAAATAAGAATAATATGAGCCAGTGATTTCCAACCTATGTGGCGCGCCCCCCTGAGGTGGCGCCATACCGTTACAAGGGGGGCGCGAAGCTGTTTCAAAAATATTATTTTTAAATGCTGAGTAAGTGTCAAAAACAAATCAACAAAATACTTAAAGTACTTCTGTTTGTTTGAGCTCAAAAAAGAAATTGCTATATTTCTTGCTGATAACAAAAGAGACGGAGCAATCTTGTTTTAGGACACAAAGTTCCTCGCAAAATTTGCGTATTTAGTTGATATTTTTCAAAGACTTAGCCATTTAAATAAATCAATGCAAGGATCTCAAATTCGTGCTTTTGTTCAGAAAGACAAGATTACGGCTTTTATGAAAAAGTTAGAACTGTGTATAGCTAGTATCAAATAATTTTATAACTTTAACATGTTTCCCACTTTTAAAATTACTTGTGTTACTGATGAAATAGAAGTAAGTAAAAATAGGACGAAAATATATTGTTAAGTTTTGGTTACCAGTAAAGGACGATTTTGCTACTTTGACAAATAATGCTTTAGAAATTTTATTACCATTTGTGAGATCTTACTTATGTGAAACAGAAAATTCTTATAATAAATAGTTATGTTTGTATATTTTTTATAATACTATGTATTATATGGCATAATTTTAGTTATGTTAAGTATATTTAAATTTTTTTAATTCGAAAGGGGGGCGCAAGGAAGAAAAGGTTGGAAACCGCTGATGTAAGCTCTTCTCGAACAAGAATATAAGCTATAATCAAATAAGAATCTAAACTCTATTCCAAGAAGAATGTAATCTCTATTTCAGAAAGAATATAATCTATATTCAAATAAGAATATAAGCTCTATTCCAGAAGAATACCGTATCTGTTCCACAAATAATACAAACTATATTCCAAAAAGAATATAATCTCTATTCAAATAAGAATATAAGTTCTAATCGAATGAAAATTTATAAGCCCTTCAATATCATTGTTGACTGCGTAGCAAAAAATGCGTAAATTAATTTGTTTATTAATAAATGCACTTACATCTTAGCTACATAGCTATATAGAAATCATTGCACAGCCTAGCACCTTAAGAATACAAATCGTGGGCCCATAACCTTCCAATTTAGAAGAGACATTAAATAAAAGTGAATAGAAAAAAATTCAATAAAGAAGGTCTGGTTGGATCAACATAACTTTCGTATAATGTTGTCCAGATCGAAGAATCAATAAGAAAACTTTCATTTCGTCCATTTCCCAACGCTCCTGCACACGAATCATAGTACGACATCCGGCAATACGATTCTACTAGTAGCGTTGATGTTGTTGTTAGTGTTGTTGCGGAGTTGCGGGACGTGCGCGCTTACCTAAACGCCGCCACTGCTCGTGTTGTTCGCGTTTGTGTTGTTGCCGACATTGTTTGCATGCTGGACGATCTTTCGCTCCTTGTAATAGATCTCTTCGCTCTCTTTGTCGCAGGACAGCAGGATTACTGCTCCGAATAAAAAGATGGCTGCTCCCCAGCCTACACCGTAAGCCCAGCCGAACTCCCAAACGGTGCGGTTACCTATAAATATAATATTTGATCAATAAGAAAGCGTAAACCAGGAAAACAGCGGTCGGAAAACCGGGGTAAAAAGTACCCCAAATAAGGTTTAAATGAAATTTTTTGGGGTAAAAAGTATATATTTTTAATTGATATTTACTGTATTTGCTGCTGCGTAGTGGTCCAAATGGAGATAATCTCTTTTCGTCATTGGATAATATCAACTAGACAAAAATAATTTGGGGTATGATTAAAAAAGTTCCCCGATCGCTGCTTTGTTGACCATACTTTTTATATGAAATGGTCGAGAGGGGGACCATTTATACTGAATAAATCACATATGTTTTACAATAGCAAATTCTATTTAAGAGTGCAATTAAAATCTGCTCTAATGAATCTTTTTTCCTATCCAGAGTTACTGACTGAGTCTAAGATTCAATTTTTACTATATGTATCTACATTTAAAAATTTCGAAACAATCCAGGTCAAAATTCTGTATCATTTTAGAAAAATCTGCAAAGCAAGGTGGATATGTGGAACCAAAGTGGTCATATGTGGTCAGAAATCAAAGTAAGACGTATGGTTATCTAAACTACTAATATAATTACTTACAAATAAGTCTAAATTATTATCAATAATTTAATGCCAAATTCATCCACAAATACTTTTTCGTTTCAGTTTTTTCTGCGCCTTCTAAGTATGATTTGATAATAAGAATTTAATTTGTTACAAAATCAAATGTAAAAAATGATGAACAATCAGTTTCAAATCTGTCGGTTCTATTAAAATTACACAAGTCAAAGGTATATGATATGAGGATTTCTTCCGGAAATATCAGTATATTTTATGAAGATATATCTATCCTCTATAGAGTACAGCTTGTAACCCACCCTCACGCATACAGATTTTAATTGAATTGATTTTTGAATTTTGAACTTTGAATTTTAATTGAATTGAATTGGGAAATATATTAACATGTAAAAACGTTAATATATTTCCCAATTCAATTCAATTAAAATTCAAACACATATATTATTTTATTTTTCAGAACCAACGGCCTCATTTTTCCAAACAATTTTTCATGTTTATTCAATATAATCTTTATCAGGTTATATAAAAAAACTTTTGAATCTAACTTAGAAATGACAACAAATTCAAGTATCATGAACTAAATATCAGAGCTCAAAACTAGAAAAATTACCAACGAAAAAAATACTATTGATATAATACATAGTCCCGTTAAAAAATGATATGCTTTACTTGTTTTTGAGATAATGGCAGTAAACTCTTTTCCTTTCTGCCCTATATGATAAATTGCTCCATTTCAAGAACAAAATGCCTCATCACTACAGAACTAAATTCAAATAGTTGTTACTCCAATTGGCAGTAGAAAGGAGATGGAGACCAGTGATTAAAATAATTTGAATACCCATCAAGTATGACTAATAATCACAATATCAATAACATTAAATATAATATTTACAATATATAGATTATATAAAAGAAATGATTCTACTTACCGAAGTTGAGTTCGGCGGCAAAGCATACCGGGTATATTATGAGCGCAATTAAAATGGAAATCACTAGACAAGAAAAATTACATTAGTAACATATTTCAAATAGCAAACTTTGGACTTCAAAAACTTACATGCAAGTAGCATGACCAGGACAGCTACACGGTAATATTTATATTTTGCTCTATGGTCATCTGATCTCAAACCCAGCCCAGTCAGAAGTGTTCCAACTGCATCTGCCAGTAATGTTACTACACAAAGAGCAGCAGATGCTTGAATGTAAGCTAGAAATAAAAAATAATAATAGAATTATATGGAACATTTTTAATTCAAGTGGAGTATATTTTGTTGTATAATGATAAAGTTTCATGATCAATAATAGCTTATAAAGTTCTAATAATAATATTTCACTTTTAAATCATGTTTAAACCATCCAAATTACTTTTCGTCCACGATTTCGAGAGCACGGATTAACCGATTTTTTATTGTTCATTTCTATTAGCATTAAGGGGGTTGTTCGGTTTTTATTTATTTTTTTTTCGATTTTGAGATTTTTTGATATTATGAAAGCTAAAAACCTTAGAATTATTTAAAAAAAATCATCTCAATATCTATTTTTTTGACTAAGTTATAGATATATAGTCTCTATATGTATGATCCTCTGAAACCGATTTTTTCATCGCTCCGCGAGCTATTGTATGCCAGCTGCTCTCTTTTTCATTATAATACCTCCTGCACATGACCTTCTTAATGATGACCATCTTTGAACACCATGGTGTATTTAGTACATTAAATTAAATGGTGTATTTAGTACATTATATTAAAAACTTTAAATACGTTTTTCTCAAAATGACTTTCATCAATGCAGTGCCACAAATTAAAAAAAAACTACAAGTCGTATCGACTTGCATTTTTTTTTTTAATTTGTTCACCACTGAAATACTTAGTCCCCCTACCTCAAACAACTTGATAACATAACGCAAAAAATTTTTGCGAAGCTTTTCATCCCAATAATAAGGCCTTTTTTAACACTTTTTTTTAAAATAGCTGCCATTTTTTTTCCTTCTTGCTTTATTTCTCTCATTTTGGTAGGGGGACTGGATTCAAACTTCTTCTTCAACGTAGTTTCTTTTTTTTTGTTTCGGGCGATGCGCAACGGATTTATCTGTGGCACCGCAAAAGAGATCGATTTTGCAAGGCAGACTTTGGCGCCCCCTGATTAAAAAATGACAGCGAAAAAAAAGAAAAAGAAAATTTCGTAATATTCTATGATTTTGTAATTTTTGTTTAAAAAAAACGCATGTCTCTATGATAAATACATTTCGAGAAAAACAAAAACAAATACCTTGCATTTTTTGTAAAAAAAAATAACAACCCCCTTAAGATGTTTTATATTCTCAATATAAGTTCCTCTAATAAGTATCCCTAAAGTTTTTTCTTTATTTTCCAATTTATATTTATAAAAAAAAGGATGCATCCATTGATCATGGTTTTGAAGTGCTTGTAGTCGTTGACTAAGTTCAGATAAAAAAAATCTTACCAACATCCCTGGCAGGATAGCAACCTGGTCCGTCGTCATCTGGGACATTGAAAGGTAAGGGCGTTGTCGCTCCTGCTTCTATACAGTGGACAAACAGGCCTTGCCGCCATCCCTCCGACATGAGCCAATCCGTTGAGGCCAAAGACATGACCATCAACACTAGGACGATGCCTCCACATATTAATGCTATCACCTGGAATGATAATTGGAATTAAAAAAATTTTATAATCGCTGAAGATCATTATTAATGTATTGTTATTATATTAATATACTTTTAACACTCGGTACGAGGCTTTTTCCTCAGGGGTGACACTGCCCTAAGAGCCAGCCAGCCGACCAAGTATTTTGCACAAATTATTTAAAGATTTTCCAATCATTATGAACAAGAATATTTTAAAAACTAGTAATCATATTTGTTAAGAATTCGTTATTAATTATATTATTTTTATTTTATGTTCATTGTTTAGTTTAAGTGAGCACAGGATGCACATGCAAATCATATAATTTTCCATATATATTATCATAGTTTAATTAAATACGCATTCATTTTTATTAACTTCCCGTAGGGTAAGTTATTGTAATGGGCCGAAAATCGGAATTGAAAATTTTTACATTTCTCGACGTTTTGAAGGTTTCTGAACATTTTGGCATACCTCAGAAAAAATAGATGTGTGTGTGTGTGTGTATGTGTGTGTGTGTGTATGTATGTGTGGATACAAATTTCCAGTCACGTTTTAGGGCGCACGGATCAACCGATTTGAATGGTTCAAAAAACATTCGATTCCTATTGATAGGGAAAAGAGCTGATTAGTTTTTGGCAAAGGCAGGTCCAGCCATTTCGGAGATACGGAGCAAAGAGTGCGGAAAATAGAAATCGAATTTTTGAGAGAACGGAGTATCCGATTTGAATGATCTAAAAAACATTCAATTAGTAATGATTGGGAGAAGTGTTTATTAGTTTTTGGCAAAGGCAGGCCCAGCCATTTCGAAGATACGGAGCTAAATATGTAAAAAATGGCAGTTTTTGAGAGAACTAAGCGTCCGATTTGAATGATTCAAAAAACTTTCTGCTTGTCTTAACAAAATAATTGATTTTGGAAAAAAAAATTTTGTTCCATTTTTTTTTTTTTTTTTTTTAGTTTTTTGTTGAAACAAATAATTTCAACTTTGCAATTCAGTTTATATAATTCTTATAAATATTAGACAATGTTACAATATTTATGATAATCTATTTGAAAACATTCAGTAATCCTCGAACATTTCGTTACGGTACGGGAAGTTCCAGCAATTTGCCTTAAGGCACGATGCCACCCACCCCACTAGTTATTAATGTAGCCTTACTATAACCCCATGTACCGTTCTAAGAAATTGTACCAAATTGTCGGATTATAGAAAAATTCCAAATTTTATAGTTGTATTAGTATATTTGTGAACTCCCCCTTCCTGGCAATTTTAATAATTTTTATATTACATTTTTAAGTTTATAAATTCAGTATTCAGTTAGTCGTGATACTAGGCACATCAATCCTAGCGCGTAAAAATTACTCAATCATTTAATAAAAATTTTCTATTTTTATGTCTATTGTTGTTTTTTCATTCTTCCAATAATTACATGGCAAGCAAGTGTTTATAAGTGTAGTAATTAATTTTATATATCTACGCCTTAGCAATACTTCTGAAAAATTAACAATTAAAATAAAAAGAGAATTCTCAATAATTTAACGCAGTGTTGAAAATTGAAGTAAATAGATACACTGAATGTCGTCTAAAAGCGATAAAGATTGAAGCTATAGTTGATATACTGAATGTCGTCTAAAGGCGACACTTGTAAATGGGTATAGCAAGATATCACCTGTATTTATTTTTTACCTGAATTAAAAAAAAAAAAGTTTACAATTTTTTCTCGTAACTAAAGATACACGTAATGTTTGGTGGAGAAAGGGAGTAATTTTGAATATTAACAAGTATCACAAAGAAGGAGGGGGTCCAAAAATCCGTGAAAAATCGATCACGTGCTCAGAGGATGTCTCCTAATATGGCGACCAATAATATAAAAGATATGATAAATTGTGAATTGGTTTTAATGATTTGAGGATATGAAGAAAAACATATTTTGATTGAAATCAAGAGTTTATATGAAGATTTTTTTTGAAAACATCTTTAGGCGCGACCACTGTGTAAACCCGTACGAATGCAACGGAAGTGTGTTACGGCAGATAAGAGTCGATAAAATAAGAGTCGAGTGCCAATGATTCGTCATTCGCTCTCGATGATATCATTTCTATACGGGTCAATTGTGATTAGTCGTCGCGTATGTGAATAGAGATCTGTCGTTGTATGCGTAACGGCATCAGCGTTGAATGCGTACCGATACCAACAAGGAAATCGGCATAAATCAATAAACATTTTGAAGTTACATCGTAGTACTAATCTTGATTTAATGAAAAATGCCTAAATCAGAAAAATGCCTAAATCAGAAGAATATTTTACCCTATTCCTTGAAAATAATGAAACAGATTGAACATTTGTTTCGTGAACTAAATGTAAGATTATTGATTAGAAATTATTTGTATATTATTCGTAGTTTCTGTAAATCTTTGAAGTTATTAAAGTGGAAAATATTTTACGGCAAGACATATATTACAGCTGTTAAAAGAATGAGATTATATCGTCAGCAAAAAAGTAAAAAAACAAGCAGTCAATGAATGTATGTGAATTTTAATTACATAAAGTTCTTCAAACAATTGCATGATGAGTAAATTGCAAAAACAATACTTGTTTAGGCGTTGTTTAACATAATCCACTGTATAAACAAATATAGAATTTATTAATCAGCAATTACGTAATTTCTCCAATAAAGGTTCATTTCTAAATGCTAATTACAATGACAAACCGATCATGTCATATTTGAAGTATGACTTTAATTACATTATTGTTTTTAATATTTTTAATACTATAATGAATATATAATTTATAATTTATCATTATATAAATGTGTATGATGGTTGACACCAATAAATATGTTCATCACGAGTGTTACCATATTACTAATAAACATTATCCAAATTGTTATATAATGTATTTATTTTTACTTAAATACCATGTTGTACAGTAACAAATAAGTTTTACTTCAATCGCGTGTGAACCTTACGCGCACTCTTTTTTATTGATTTCAACAGTTTATATAAGGATAAGACAAAATGGAACAAAAGCTAAATTAAAAACCAATATTATTTTACTTTTAGAAAGACTTCTGTAAAATAGGTCTGACTGCTACGTATTGAACTGGTAAGTTTATATAAACATATTGCAAAAAATAAAACAGTCGGTAATATAAAACCAAAAGCTATACTAAAAACTATTTTCCAACTTTCACATTTAAAGCTGATTTTTTTTAGGAGACTAAAGTTCTGGGAAAGATCTCTGACACTACGAAAACCGTTCATTCAGAGCTATATGAACTGGCAAGTTTATATAAATACATTGTAAAAAATAAATTAGTCGATAACAAAACCTATATTGAAATCTTTTACAAAAATATCTAATTAGGGAGCGACCATTTATCACGTGAGGTTTTTAGGAAAAGGGGGGTGGGACATTTTCCATAAATGTAAATTTGGGTTTATATTGAAACACACTTTGTAATTCAATAATTTATTTCACTTATTAGTAAGATTTTATAATATTATTTTAGTTTACTTTGACTGGTTTCGCGAGTCGGGCGGTTAATTATAATAACAAACTTAAAGGAATTATGACTGCTTTCGCTCGTCAAGCGGGTACTTTTTATGTGCTTTCTTGGTGACGCTTAAAGTTGTACTAACTATTATACCTAATATTTGGGTAAATATTTTTTATTGCCCTGTATGAAGCGAACAGCTTTCTGCTTGTGCGGTGTTGCAGTTTTTTAAACATTGGAGCAGCAATTCGCTCCAGGGGGGGGGGGTAAAAAATCATCAAATATCACGTGGAGAGGGAGGGGTATAGTAAGATATCATGTGTATTTATATTTTACCTGATTTTTTTTAATCTAAAAATTCTGAAATTTTACAATTTTTCTCGTAACTAAAAATACACGTGATATTTGGTGGGGGAAGAGGATAATTTTGAATATCACCAGATGTCACCAAAGGGGTGGGGGTGGTGGTATCCATAAATATATAAAAAATGAATCACATGATTAATGGAGCACTCTTACAAGAGTCCCTCATAGGTTTTACGAAATCAATTATTCTATGGTAAACTAAACAATTTGACTAAAACCCTTTATTATTTGACCAATTTATTATCAACTCATCTTAAAAAAGACAATTTGCACCAAACAAGATCTAAATGTTCAGATTTTTATTTAATGCTACCAAATTATATTTAATTTTAACGCTTGTTTACTAATCTAATCTATATTTTGCATTACTATCAGCGGACAATAAAAAAGTCTGTAATCATACAAGTTTTAAAAATATGTATAGGTTGCTTTAGCGGTACAAAATGAGATTATATACAAAATATGATTTTTAATCTCTCTTTAAAGTAGTTTAAAAGCAGTCCGGCTTTAAGCTCGTAATAACAAGTTCTTGCAGGGATTTTGCGCTTGAAAGTTTCAGATAAGATGTAAGTTTTTATGTTTGTAGAAATGGGATATATATATATATATATATATATATATATTTATATATTATATAAAATCATTGCGCATGCTTACAGTATATTAGTTACAACCCCCTCTTTATACAGATCGATCGTGAGATATTGTATATATACATAAATATAACTATATATGTTGTATACCCTTATTTATATGGGTTTAAAAAACAAAAACTACTTTATATTGCTATAGTTTTTAGATTACATCTGTCCCAGCAAGTTAAAAAACATGTTCTATGGGCTACGTTAGCAATGACATGATTTGATATAAAATTTATTGCGATATGAAATAATATCATTTCTTAAAGTAGATATAAAAACTCATATGATAGACAATATAATATAGATATAAAAATTCATAAGATAGATGACTACACAAAATAGATACAGAGGCGGTATTTAAATTTATCTTTAAGGGTTTAAATTGATACGATCTCCTCTATCAAAAAAATAAAAAAAAATCTTTTAATTCTGTAGTTAATAATTGTGTTATGAAATTAAGCCTATCGGTGTATAGTTTTTTTTTTTTTTTTTACTTTTCTGCACATTTATTTATTAATACCCGAAGGAGTAATTATTGTTAGCCAAATAAAAATATTTTTAAATATTTTTCCAGTTACAAAATCTTTCAAAGTCACTAAAATCATT